ATGTTCATGTTGCTGCGGTCTGCAGTCTGGACGTTAGATGTCGCTGAAAATTACACACTGTAGCTTTAAAGTTTTCCAAAATGGAAGACAGTGTTGGGATTTAATACGTTTTCTTCTTCCCGCTCCTTTTTTGAGCTAAATATGTTTTGCCTGTATATGTACTGGATGCATGCAAGTGTGTTTTTGTTTAATTTTTTTCTTCTTTGATCTGCTTGAAAAGAAATATGAATTTATCCAAACATTTTCTTTTTTATTCATATATGAGCGTGATAATCAAAGCATATGAAAACTAATTTCAAACTGCGATGGTCATTAAACATTGATTTTTGATGTTTCCTGGTTCTAAATCACTGTAGGAAACCAACGATCCAGCTCAGTTTCTCATTGATTTAATACACAGAAAACAGTAACTTAAGCTTGTATATGACACTTTCCATGCAAAGGTAGTAATTTATCAAAAACAATCTTGGCGTGGAAAAGTGTGCCGCAGTGATATGCTGATACATTGCAGTTTTGGTGAGTTTATATAAAAGGAGAGCAACACAACTAATTGCACATACTGTATTTCTGCATCATCTGGTTAATAAGTATTCTCGAAATATTTTTGGCTTAACATCAGAAAGACAAAGCAACTAAAAGCTTGTATTATTGCTAAATAAACAGCCCTTTTCAGTTTTTGTTCAGAGCCTCATTGCCAATCTCAATGATGCGTTTAAGAGCGTTTAGGATCAGAACGTCCACATTGGTGTCCAGGTCCTTCTCCATGTAGTAGTTCTTAATGGTGAAGATATCGTTCTCAGGGATCCCCGACTTCTCACTGAAGTCCTGGACCTGCAGTTCAGAAAGGACTCCATGAATCGGAATTATAATGATTTTAACACAAATAAAAAATAGAAATAATAATAATATTCACCCTGTCATGCAGTAATTTGCTCCTGCAGACATTTCTTATTTCTTTTTTTGTTTTGGCACAGGCCTCATCAATCTTGGTGAAAATGGCAACTTGATGAATTCCTGCAAAAAATATTTTTTATTAAAATCAATTCCTTTAGAAGAACTAGAATTTAAACCCGGAGAGACTCACACAGATACAATCTGCAATCAGAAAATTACTCAATTATTTATACAGATTATTATATACTTAAAAATGTTTCTATCTAAAGAAAATAAGCTGATTGCGAGGACTCAATGACCCTCTGCAATCCCTTGCACTGAGCATGCATGTAGCGACAGTGGAGAGGAAAAACTCCCTTACAACAAGAAGAAACCTCCAGCAGAACCAGGCTCAGAATGAGCGGCCATCTGCCGAGGCCGACTGGGGTTCAAGGAGACAGAAGCAGATAAAGACATAAACAAACTAAGTTCTTTGGCGCTTGGGCCCCTGGCCTCGTGAGACCATCCTGATCTCGCGAGCTTTCAAGGTTTCACTCGCAGATCAGTC